CTCACTCCCCATCAAACACCAGTAAGCTTATGCCGCCCCAGTATCCAACGAACTACTGCCCTCATCTAGGCCCTCATTGTCCCCGACACTGCAAGCTATTGCCCCTGAAGTAGAGAGTAGGTGAGTAGGGGTATCTGGGGATCTTATCATGACCCTCCGGATCAATTGTGCGATCCAGACCCTCCGCATCAAACAGCACAGGGGCGTTAATTCGGGGCACGATCTGTAGCCAAATGAGGTGCCAAGCAACGGAAAATACTTAGCCATCACCCACAAATAAAAAATACAACTATGGTACAATCAAATGGGGTTTTCCATGACGTAAGGGATCCCAATAGAAACTCCAAACTATTGAAACCCTTATCATATGTACACCCAACAAGCGGCCCCTACTTTTTGGGAAACCCCCTTGCATTTCATCCCCTCCCAGCTCCGCCCTTGCGCAAACTCAGGCTGAGATTGTGAAGCCCGAAACGGTGACAAAGCTCCTAGGTCTGCTATTGGGAATTCCATATTGTATCTACTTAAGAGGGACTATAAGCTCCAAACTTACCTGACTAGGACTATACTATATAGGGATTATACAAGGATCATACTCCCCTTACTCCCTGCAAATTGCCAGTAAGTTAAGGGCGTTAGTATTAGGATTCTTTTATAAGCACCATTAAAGGCAGGGGGTTCATTAAGCAGGGGTCTACATTCGTCTCAGAAGAACCCCCGCCGTGCAGCAGCTTGCCCACATCAAAGTTCCCAGGATGGACGAAACAAGGCAAAAAGAGTGGAATCAACTTACCGGGGGTTAGTCTGAACATGCGTGAGGCTCTTTCGTCAGCATCTCGAGTCTACGATTCGAGCAAGTACTGCGTCGTTGCAAACTTGAAATTCAAGTGGGGGCTTCAACCAATAGGGACCTCCCAATACCTACGATCCTTCTTGTAGGGACTGCCAGAAGGGGCCCCCGTCTTTGTGGGAACCCTGCCACATGAAACCTTATGAGCTTCCCATTTACAAAGGTTCCGCATGTTGCGCCTGAAAAGAGCCAATGTGGGGACCACAGCTTAGTATTTCGAAGTTGAGATCAAGCGCCTCCCTTGAATTATCCCCCACGCTAAAGGGGGAGAGGCGCAGGAAACTAGAACTTCCAAAGCTGCGCCTCCCCGTCACAATGTTGCGGGAAACCATGTTCCACAAGTGCTCGTCTCTGGCCCCCATCTGATGCATGAAATTGGCTGCTCGAGCGCAACGCAATACTGGGGACTTGCAACCCCATGGCTGCACCATGAGGGAACCGTAATGGAACTATGAACCCACCGCCTCACTGGTTCCATTTTCCCACACGACATATCCCAATGCAATTCACGACAGAAAATGGAACCTGATAGTTGGAATCTAGGCGGCGGGCCCCCTGCAAATTCTATTTCCTATGGGCGGGGGATCTTGAATTCAAGCTTTTGACCGGAAAATCTTCTTAACTCTGAAGCCCCTAGCTGCTGTCGCTTTCACGAACCGTATTAGTACTATTACTAAGAAGCCTCAAGACCCTTTTGATCTGACCTCAGGTTCTTCAAAACAGGGGTTCTGGAACTTTTTCGGGCGTTATGAAAATTTGTGTTTGTTTTCTTTGTGCTGGGCTTCATTACTGCAATCATTATAAGCTGCATAGAACAATGATCCAGGTTTCCGAGGGGCTGTTCTTTATGATCTCATCATGGCGATAGTACAGGTGCTTAAACTAAGTTAAGGGTGTTTTGCAGACCTTGAGATGCGAGTATTACCATGTTGAGTCAGGACGACGTTTAATACAAGCATGTTCCTTTCTCACATACAGACATCAACAGCAGATTCCGGGTTTACGCCTAGGCTTTAAGAGGTAGCTGCTTTTGGTCAAGTACATGCACGCTCTTTCGTGTCCTCCTGAAGCGGGCTCTAACTCCTTTAAGATGGACATTGGGTTAGGCCCCCACCCAAGGATAGTGGTATAATGGCAATATGCAAGGACCCTTGTATATTGATCATCATCCTTTGTGATCACAAAATCGTGGGTGACAAGCTAAGATATGTGCCTAGACCGTGTTTTCCTCCTGTATATCTACGTACTATATAGATAATGTGTATATGTATATATACATGTTATATGTACATTTGTGCACGAATGCCCCCCACTCCAGGCGAAACATGACTTAGACTGGCAACGCTCTGACTTGCAAATTCCAATGATCAGCTGCCATACATCTTCAACTCTGAACACATTCTCAAGCGCCCTTATCCTTCTTCGAAATGAGGAATTTAATCTGCTAGCAAGATAATAGCCCGGACTTTCGGGACCTTTCAAAAGGAGCTGCGATCTTGGAAATTCCTGAATACAAATCTTTCCTTTGTAGCCTCCAAATCCAGTCTCAGCTTCTCCTTTCCAACGTGCCTATCTAACCACAAACAATACACAAGCAAATCGAAAGAACTCGCTACAGTTCTCGCTTGGGACCCCCCTGACATAGGCTCAGGCTTGGGAACCTGCAGCAATAACAATGCGCCACTGGCGCTGGGAAAATGTGAAGTCTCAGTGGCCAGAAGTCTGGTGTCTCTGAGAAATACGGGACTCCTGTCAAATTAAGGTTGTGCCATCGTGTGTGAGAAGGCCCAAATAATTAGGAGTAGTTGAAACCGACGTTTCTACTGGTGTTGTTACTCTGCTGCAGATTCTTAGTAGGGAATGAGGGAATATGGTATATGGGGATTTTATAGGGATTATGTTCCCTTATTCCCAACTAAGAACCAGTAAGGATTTGTGTACTACTGCCTCTGCAGTGCTACTCCCACTGCAACTTTTTTCCCTTCTGCTACTACACTCCTCTCTCTTATCCTGCCACCATGCCTAATACAACAACTACTGCCATGAGGACTTGGTGAAATATGTAGGGATTGTGCAGAGGTAAGCTTGGTGACTCGCCAGGCTCCTACACTACCTCCTGCTACTGTTCAAGGCTTCATCACTTCCCGACCGGGCTGGAACCCTAGGGCACGCACTCTGCACAAGCTTGCATGCGATGAGCTTTCTTGCCCAAGTTCCCTTAGTGTAGAGTTTGAGGTAGGCTGTAGGGTTTGTGATGCGAAGGTTTGCCAGAAATGTGTTTTCGAAGGCATATGGTATGTTGTCCGAATCATGTTTTGTTTTACGTTCCTAGTATAATACGGCTCTTAAGATAACGGATGCTCCACCATTTTGAGAAATGCCCACTTGTCAAAGCTGCTCGCTTCATGCTGGAATTCTGCTTGGAATATTGCAGGGATGCTGATTGTCCTACTATTCACATACTAACCTTGCATCACCTCAGCAGACTAGAATACCCCACATCCCAAGGTAAAAGGTACTTACTGTCTTGCAGGATTGTTTTTATCAACCATAATTCGGAACAATCCGTAGTTCGTGCGATAGTTGGTTACTTAACTAGTTACTTAGTTCGTTACTTAAAACCCTGTATCCTAAGATGGTTGGTCGGCTAATGAAGTAAACTTGGAGATGAGCAATTTGGACTCAGAGCCATAACTAGGGCACCCCCAGGGACGATAGGGATATATAGTCATAATTTACCACGAAATCAAAACCCTGAGCCTGAAATCTTATGCTACCACCGGGCTGTAACGTCCTGAATGACACGCAGACCACAAGTAAACATTCAAAATTAGGCTTAGAAGTTTGTGGCTTGCAGCATGTAGGGCTTGAACACATTTGTCAATGGACTAAGCGTACGTCTGCTCTGCTAGAATAAGAGGATGCAAAACTTAACCCTAAACCAGTTCAACGCTAAGCCTAATCTTGTCTCAAGCTGGGGCTGTTATTTTTTTAGCAGCTTATCGCGTCATTTGTAATCTAATAGCATAAGCCAGCTCGACAGGAAGATCGTACACGTAGTTTACCGGTACAGAGGGATAGTGTTGGGACCAGTAGGTTTACAAGTGACGGTTTTCTGGGGCCGGGGTAGATTCATTTAAGGGCCAGCCCCAAACCCCATAAAACGTATTGGGGCAACGGTGGCAGACGCCAGCAGTTCTTCTGGCCCCATTCGACGGGATGATGGGCTTAAAAGATTTGCCACGGTTGCTGCCATAGCTACACCTTGTATTGCCTGTATGAATTTTAGGCATGGGCACACGCTTCGATGTTTAGACTAGTAGAGCCTAGGCTTTCTTTATCTCTCCAGTCCCGGGCGCGGCATAGCAAGGCCCTGGACAGCAGCCACTGGCAGCTACTCCTTGCAGAGAAGCTCGGCAGCCTTTTGAAGTGCGGCAGCCACTGCCGCATCACTTACAACTAAGCGAGTACAAAACGCAACTGTCATAGCGAACCATAAACTTCATGAGAATGGCTTGCGCACAACCACCAGTGCAAAACTGCGGCAGACAAGTGCCCTGGCACAAGCGACTTTTAACCACCCATGACCCTCGCCATCCCGTCCTATTTCTCAAAAAGAAGTCACGCAGAGCCTTGCCATGCTGAAGGGCCAAAGGAAAGCACCGCTTGCCGCTTAGCTAAGGCCTACGCCGTGCTCCAAATCTGCGCTATGTCTTCCCCTAAGCAACATATTGCCGTTCATCACTTTAAGCACGTGTTTGAAACTTGCTTGCGCAAACCCTGCGGTCATCTGCCCAGGAGTTCGACGTGGCACAAAACTTCGGAGCCCGTGCCAGGAAGACGGAAATGGCCATCATGCTGGCACTGCACATCCTTCGGAACCTGAACGCTACACAGTTTTGACTTGACGATTGAGTCCACCTACCCAGTTATGAAAGATTGGAACGGGCCCACGTGGTTCAGAAGGCGGCGTGCGCTGCACTCCGGCCGCTCCTGCGGCAAGCCAAGCCTGAGGCACTGGCGTTGCGGCCGTGCGCTGAGCAGCTTGGCGGCACCGCGGGAGCTTTGCAAATTTGCGTTGGCACTTACCGGCTCTTCGGCCTTCCTGAAGGCCCCATACACAAAGAGAGAGCCCCTAAATCTCGCATCATCAGTCCACGTACTCGCCCAGAGTCACCGGAACGGAGGCTGCGTCTGAGGTGATGTCGGGTGCTCCTTTGCCCCGCTGGCACATGCGTCCACGGCGTTTGGGCAGCTTCTTGTGGCCCTTGCTGAGGATGCAGGGCGGGCAGGAGAAGACGGCCACCGGAAGGTCAGGCTCAAAGACGATCTTCAGCACCTCGCAGTCCGCGGACCAGGACTCCACGCTTGTGAGGGCCATGGGCTCACCTGAGTCGAGTACAACGATGTCGCCCTCCTTCAAGGTGCCAGCCGCAACGTACTGCGCGACGCCCTCTCCCTCCGTTGCATCCAGGATTTCGGCCACTACCTCCTGCACGTCTTTCAGGTCAGGGACCTGCACCGGATGGTCCCGGGTTATCTGCAACGTGGCGTCCCCGGCCTGCAAGGGTGAGGGATCATTTTGAAACCCTGTGAAAATCCTGAAAACCCTGGAAACCGTACAACCCTGGAAACCTGGAGTCTGTACAACCATGGAAACCCTGCAAACCATGGAAACCCTGCAAACCATGGAACTGTGCAAACAAGAGAAACCCTGGAAAGTGCAGCACCCTGGAAGCCGTGTGGACAGCCACTGAGCCGCGTTCCAAATTGATCCCCTTGTCCGCGTTCCAAAATGACCCCCTTCCCGCCCGCAAGCGGACAATGTCGGTGGCCTTGCAGATCTCCTTCTTGGTGACCTCCAAGATGGTCTCGTCATCACCGGCCACCACCTTTGAGCCCTTCTCAAGGTCCCTGCCCATCAAGAAGAAGTCGACGCCGTAGCTGCGGGTCTTGAAGATGGAGTCCAGCATGAAGCAGTCGTGCGGATGGACCGAGAACCAGGACGAACTGCTCAGCACAGACGAGGCGGTCTCGACCAGGACGAAGCCCAACAAGTCGGAGGAGTTTGACCTGGGGCTGATGGAGGCTTCTGCGCTGAAGGCTGGGTCGCGGCGGATGAAAGTGGGATATGCAGGAAATCCGCCGGTCATGTGCGATGCCCGCTCCAGCTGACGGCAGCGCTCCTTGTAGGTGGCGACCTCTACCTGGCACTTGCCCATCTGATCCAGCTTTGTCTCCGCCTTGGCAAGTTGCTGCGTGAGCTGTGTACATCGCTCCTCGTACTTCGACTTCTCGATCAGCAAGGCCTGCCACTTCTCCCCACTTCCCGGCGGATCCTTGGCCAAACGGCTCTCGAGTTGCTGGCAGTGCTCCTCACACTCGCTCTGAACCTTGCGAAGCTCATCTTGGCTTTCGGCAGCGGCGGCCTCCGCTGTTGCCACATGTTGCTCGAGCTTGGTGATCTCCTCGTGAGCTTCCTGGAGCTCCACCACCTTGTCGGACGCCAAGGCCTCCGCAGAAGCCAAACTCTCCGTAAGCTGCCCGCATTCCTCCTGCGCAGCTCGGAGCTGCGCGGCATTGTTGGCTGCAGCCGCATCCAAAGCAAGCACGTGAGCCTCGAGCTCTCCACATCGCTTTTTGTGCTGGGCCACTTCGTCCTTTGCTGCTCGGACCTCCGATTCCGCCTCAAGTGGCCATGGTCTGCAGTTACAGAAAGTACGATTATTTTGGCCGTCATCCCTCCTCAGCCCTATACCCGAAAGATTCCCGCTCTTCTTTTTTAGGCAGTGCAGATGACATCTGACAGCCCGGTCTACAGAATATGAAAAACCCGTGAGCGTTCCAAGTAGACAGCTCGCACACATGCTCGCTAACAAAATCATCTCAAGTAGTCCGCTTGACAACCTGGCGCCAGAAGAACTCTGGCCAAAACTTAGGTCCTGGTTTTTCGCCCATGACCTGCGCAGAGTCACAGCCATGAATCAATCCTAAAACTCTTGCCGTCGACCCTAAAAATTCGGAACACAGTCCTGACCGGATGCCGAACCATCCGAACAATGGCTCCACACTCTCAACTCTCGACGCCAATGCTGCATAGCCCTGAGGCCTACCTGGATCGCAACGTTAAGCCGTGCACGAAACGTGTTTCTGCGCACCTTGTTGACTGGGAGCACACATATACGCCCCTTCTGAACTCACCGCCCTGATCAATCCTAAGCCAGGCCTAGTAACTCAAAAACACCCTTGAAGTTGACCGCAGCTCCGAAACCGTCACCAAATCTGCAAGCAACCCGAGTCAAGCTCTTCCCCAACGAAAGTAACGAAATTTCGGAATCCCGAGCCTCTTCCAGGTGGCCTGCGAGGCGCGCAGCCTCCTCCTTGGCCTTCTGCAACTTGTGTGCAGCGGAATCCTCCACTCGCCGCCGCTTCTTCGCCTCCTCCGTGGCGGCCAGCTCCTTGCTGACAAGCTCCGTACTCCATACATGTCTACACTTGGTGGAGCCTGGCCTCAGCATCATCATCTTACTCGCTTGCCCGAATCAAAGCTGGATGCTCAATGCTAATTTCACCTTTGGTGCACACCAAACAAAGGGTACAAACATGGCTGGCGTTCCTTGATTGCAATGTGCTCTAATTACTCCATGGATTAAGCTGAAGTGGAGGGATGGAGTTTGCGGTGGAATAACCGCTTCGCGGCCAGGAGCAAGTTCTGAATCTTTCCCGCCCAGCCTACAGCCTTGACGCAGAAAAAACAAACAACATAGTTTCTCAGACCAGGATGCCTCAGGATTGTCCCTCATTTACATGATGCTGCAGGGTTTGGACTTATTGAAGCCTTCTTGGGCCCCAGGATCTAGAACAAACCCAGTCAAGTTTTACCGTCCACCTGTTATCCGTTCACATTGATCTTCAGAATCCCCGAAGTCACCAAAATCCAAACGACGCAACTTCTTGTAGCCAACCCTTTGTTTGTCCCTCGAGCCCTGTAAGCCCCTAGAACCTCAAACCCTTTCCGGCATCTACTTCACACAGTTGACAGAAATCCTCCGCAACGGACTGCGGCTCCAGGCGATTGAACTCCTCAAGTGATAGCTTTTTTTGGTTGGAGATTGCAGATTCATGTGGGTAAGCCGAGAGATAAAGATTCGCTGTATATCGAAAAAAATCAAACTCACTATGCCCGGGACGTCCCAAAACTCCATAGCCATGGTTGTCAAAAGGCGGGAGCCCTCAACTTTCGTTTCCGCGAACGTTTACGGGAAGAGGCAAGAACAGCAACCGTATCACTTTTGAGTGAACTAGCCAATGTAAGAAATATGGCAGCTGAAAGGCTGGCTGCGCAGCTATGTCGGAAGACTAATATGGACAATAAAAAGACTTGTCTACAGAAGACAGACATAAGTTCTGTTACGATCAGTTGCAGCCAATTTTCCAGCGGGCTGCCAACAATTCAGTGGTTCAGGAAAATTCGGTGATGCTGCCCAGATATGATCCGATTCTATCAGAACAAAAGAGACAGATGTACCCCATTCGGGTGAGCAGAAGGGACAAGAGACGAGTCAAGATGCAATTGACAACAGGCCTTGACCTGGTACGTGTGTGAGAAAACTTTGTTCCAAAAGGCTTTAGTCGGGTGATTTCATAAAGCAAGCAAGAGCAATGTGAAATTGGTGAGAGAAAGATGTCTCCAAAAACAACAGAAGGGGGACAAATTGCAGTTTCAAGTGTTGCAGCGCAGCTACAGTACAAGTACGGGTGCCAACTGCCTCATGTTGACTTGACACTAATAAGCACCCGTCATTGCAAAGTCCGACAACCAAAACGCAACTACACGGGGTTTCGGGGGATGCTTGAAGCAGGCTTTTTGGTAGATTCGAGACTAATGAAAAACAGCAAAGGCGACGCATGGAGATGCGAGTTGCTGGTGCCTTCACCTTCCTGCTTTTAAGCCTGAAATGGCTGCCCGCGCACAAGTGGCTTGGATGGGATATGTTCGATATTGTGCACATTTCTGCTGAAAGCTGTTGGAGCTGGGTTGAGCTCCAGCGCTCTGCGCTTGCTAAGGTGGCAACCTCTTGCGTTTTTCAAACTCATGCTCCAAGACCATCCACTCGAAGAATTCATCCTGGCCACTGGTGGCCAGGCCCTGCAGCACCTGGCGTGCGGCAGGATGAGAATCAAATTTGAGGGTCACTTGTCACTGGGCTGACTGGACATGTAATGTAAGCAGCACAACTGGTGCTGCCAGGCATCTGAACGTTGGGTCCGAGGCAGTGAGGAAGCGAATGTTGGATGGTATGAGATCGCGCTTGCCATCATTCAGGACACAGACATAGCTCGGGCTACTCTTCTGCTCCTGCTCTTCGGGCTCGGGATTGGAAGTTAGCTGCTTCTCAGTGGCCTCATTGTTGTTGCTGCAAAACTAAGTATGCAGCGGGGCGAAGTGCAGGAGCATCTGAACAGCTGACGCGTTGAGCAACAAACGATGCACGGCAAGTGGATGCACTGAAGTTTTGTCACTCTTGGTGCATACGCTTCGCCAGGCTTAAGTGTTCGAACATCGACTCCGGACCTGGCATTCTTGGCAGAATCTGATGACAAAGTCACTAGGGAACTATCAGAAAGCGGCATCTGTTCTAAGGCAATTGCATGTGTACCAGAACCCTACTCACCATCTATCGAAAGTCAAAACCCTGGCATCTTTATCGCTGCAAGAGCCCACCAGCGCATAAAGATGCGGTTCACCGTCGCGTCATGACCCAACAATTCCCAATCCAACTCCCAGTGCCCATTCATCGGTCGCATTCTCACGTACCTGCCCGGACGCGCAGTGTTCTGTGTCATCAGGCCGGGATCCGGGCTCTAGAGCTGGAGAATGGCAGGGTTCCAAGCAGGAAGATCTTACCACAGGCAAGAGGCTTCAGGCTTGGAGGATTTGGAAACTTTGTTGACCTAGCATGACTTCTGTGCTTCGCAGATTTCTTCCTATGCTCAGGGAATACAACGTGCTCACTAGAGCTCCTAATGTCGCTCTGCTGAGATCTGGCGGGGCCCACTGGCTTTTCCCACTAATTACTCTTGACTTCCTGCATGAACGCTTGCCGTTTGCACCTCATTGCCCTCATCATGGAAGATGGCAATTAGATCCCAGGCCCATGCAGTTTAGCATGATTGGTTACACGCTGTTCCCCTGCAGCCGCACGTTCCCAAGCCCCTCGCCAGAAACCGCAACACCCCTCCCGAAGGCACTTGTACTGATATTCCACGCTGGGGTCGAGATCCACCTTGCCAGGCTGAGTGAAGCAGATAGGTCCCTTCTCCCCAAATATAAATCACTTCCATCTTGCAAAACTAGATATTCTCCAATAAATTGGAGTCACAGGTACAGGTAGGGTCTATGGCTTAGGGTCTGAGCCCCCCCAAAAAACGTATGTACAATGATGGCAAAGTTGCAGCGGAAACTGCTAAATTATTTAAGGTTGAGGGTGTAAAATGCCTCAACCCCAGAAGTATGTAGAATCATGCTTCTTGGGGGGTCTCTTTCATGGGGGCCGGGCCGTCAGTTTTGCCTACTGCTGAGGTCCGGGTAAAGCTTGGGCTTTGGAGGTTTGGGGTTTTGGGGTACCTCTGGATCCTGGTTGTTTGCAGTCATGGTACAAGTAACTTCTACGAAAGCGCACAAGTTTAACAGATCCAGACTATGCTGACTCGCTTAAAGGGCCTGAACAGCAACCCAGAGTAGCAGCAACACCCACACCCAAAACCAAAAAAAACAATTCAAGGATGGGGAAGCCCTCTGGATGCGCGGGTGGCCCAATATTTGCCTCGTCTTGGGTAATGCAAGAATCCGCCGCCTAAGGGAGTACTACTATGGACTATGCGTATTGAACGGAGGGACTTTTGTAATTAGGGATTCATAGTTTCTGTCCTTCCCTTCTACCAACACTAGACCTTATGTCCTTTGATAAGGGGCAGCAAGATAATAGCTCGCCCTAAGCACAGCCCCAAACACTAAACCCCAAACCCCTACACTCAAACCCCGAACCTCTGAACCCCAAACCCTAAAATCCCTTGATGCTTCCTCCTGCGTTCGAAGCTGCCGATAAACAACCTTAAGTAGCTGGCCAACTCACCAAAACCCCAAAGAAGCACAAAGAAGCTCGCTTCAGTCCCCAAAGCCCTAACTGAGGACGCAAAATCACAAGAAAAAGGTTGGAGTGCATTTCGGGTTAGCGGACTGGTCTGGAGTTAAGGCATGTGCAGGAAAAGCCTTCCAACTGTAGTCCGGGCACGGTGTGATTGCAGACACCCGCACAAATACGGATGCTAATGCGCACGTATAAGTTACAATGGATTGTCGTCCTGTTCCATACGCTCCAGTCCGGTATTCTCCTCGGGGTGTGTAGGATGATTAGTGGACCACATGGCGGGATGTTCTAACAAATGCAATTCTCATCCTGTTTTAGTCCACATCCGCTCTCGCTTCACTTGAGGGCGAGTCTTGTGTGGTTTATGGTGTAGAGATTTAGGGGGCGGCGTCTTAGAGCTCACGCTAGGAGAGTTCTGCGATTAGGGCTTAGAGTTGCGGGTATTGATTTGGGTTGCGTGTATTCCGCCATCTTACTCGGCTCTCAAGACTACCCAAGCCCTCCCTTAGATCTTCTCCGAATTGGTCCCATGATCCATGATCCGTCAGCTCCCCTCAGGGTTGGGAAAAAGGATGTCAAGAACGGCCCTGGTTTGCCACCAGAAGGCACCCCTAGTTCTGACATGCGCCCGGTGGCCTGTTTGCAGACATGGCGTCAAAGAGGTGGAAAGAAGAAGGCACAAAGGTGAGTCGCTGGGGCAATCCGGCTGATGGGCG